CCAAGAAAAAGAAATACAAAAAGGCAAAATGGTTCCCTGAGGAGGGCTTTTGAATAGCTGAGAAAAGCAGAGAAGCTAAAGGCAAAGGAGAAAAGGAAAGATATACCCATTTGAATGCAGAGTTCCAAAGAATAGCAAGGAGAGATAAGAAAGTCTTCCTCAGTGATCAATGCAAAGAAATAGAGGAAAATAGAATGGGAAAGACTAGAGATCTCTAAAAGAAAATTAGAGATACCAAGAGAACATTTCATGCAAAATGGGCAAAATAAAGGACAGAAATGGTATGGACCTAACAGAAGCAGAAGATATTGAGAACAGGTGGCGAGAATATACAGAAGAACTATACAAAAGAGATCTTAATGACCCAGATAACCACAATGGTGTGATCACTCACCTAGAAGCAGACATCCTAGAGTGTGAAGTCAGGTGGGCCTTAGGAACTGGACATGGAACAATGGACTGATTCCAAATTGGGAAGGGAGTACCTTAAGACTGTGTATTTTCCCCCTGCTTATTTAACTTATATGCAGAGTACACCATGCAAAATGCCAGGCTGGGTGAAGCACAAGCTGGAATCAAGCTTGCTGGGAGAAATATCAATAACCTCAGATATGCAGATGACACCACCCTTATGGTAGAAAGTGAAGAGGAACTTAATGAAAGTAAAGAAGAGAGTGAAAAAGCTGAGAAGACTCAACATTCAAAACACTAAGATCACATTAAAATAAAGGTTCCATGTTGCTTGGTGAAAAAAAAAAACTAAGATCATGGCATCTGGTTTCATCACTTCATGGCAAATAAATGGGGAAACAGTGGAAACAGTGACAGACTTTATTGTTTTGGGCTCCAAAATCACTGCAGATGGTGATTGCAGCCATGAAATTAAAAAGACGCTTACTCCTTGGAAGAAAAGCTATGACCCAACCTAGACAGCATATTAAAAAGCAGAGACATTACTTTGCTGACAAAGGTTCGTCTAGTTAAAGCTCTGGTTTTTCCAGTAGTCACTTATGGATGTGAGAGTTGGACCATAAAGAAAACTGAGCACCAAAGAATTGGTGCTTTTGAACTGTGGTGTTGGAGAAGACTCTTGAGAGTCACTTGGACTGCAAGGAGATCCAACCAGCCCATCCTAAAGAATCAGTCCTCAATATTCATTGGAAGGACTGATGCTGAAGCTGAAACTCCAATACTTTGGGTACCTGATGCAAAGAACTGACTCATTGGAAAAGACCCTGATGCTAGGAAAGATTGAAGGCAGGAGAAGGGGATGATAGAGGATGAGAGATGGTTGGATGGCATCACTGACTCAATGGACATCAGTTTGAGCAAGCTCCAGGAGTTGGTGATGAACAGGGAAGCCTGGCATGCTGCAGTCCATGGGGTCACGACTGAGTGACTGAACTGAACTGATATGTAGAGTGTTTTTTTTTTCTTTGCCTTTTTTCGGTCTATAGGATTTAGATAAGAAAGGGAAGGTGTTTTGACTGTCACAGGAAGATTATATCATGTGTCCTGCCACTTCACATGCCTGACTTGACCTCTAAAGGGCACTGGGGCAACAATGAGCAGTGAAGTCAAAAGCTGTGGGGTAACTGATTCTGAGGATCAAAGAGAAGTTAGTGGATTTGTGTTTTCTCTCTGCCAACCCATAAGTCAACTCCGTTATCAAGATTACTGTTGCAAGCACTTCCATAATGCCAAGCCCTGTTATAAACATTTACAGGTGGCGAAACAGTTACATAGAGTTGGAATGATTGCTTAAGGACACATGGCTGTTAAATATCTTGCTCCTGACTTTAGGAGGAAAGCAGTTTTTAATTAAGTACGTTGTTAGCTATATTTCTTTTTATTGTCACCCTTTATCAGGTTAAGTTCTCTTTCCACATTTCTAGTTTCCTGATCGTGTTTATTGGACTAGACATTGGATTTTAGCAAGCACTTTTTCTGCATGTATTGAGTGTATTTTCTGTATTGAGAAGATTGTATGGTTTTCGTTTTTTAGCTTGTTAATATAGTATATTATATTACATTTCTAATGTAATGTTAAGCCAGTCTTGCATTCTTGAGATAAACCTTGCATTCTTGAATATTAACCTTCTTATATACTGTTGGATTTAATTTGCTAAAATTTTGTTAAGAATTTTTGTATTTATGTTCCTGAGAGATATTTGTTTGCAGTTTTCTTTGTTGTCTCTTCCCTTCCTCTGCAGACTTCAGTTATGTGATATTAGATTGCTTGAACTTGTTCCTCAGCTCGCTGATGTTTTGGATTTTTGTTCATCCTTTTTTCCTTTGTGTTTTATATTGGATACCTTCTGTTGCTATATCTTCAAATTTACTAATCTTTTGTCCTGTGATATCTGTGGTTGTTGTTTAGTCGCTAAGCTGTGTCTGACTCTTTGTGACTCCAGGGACTGTAGCCTGCCAGTCTCCTCTGTCCATGGGATTTCCCAGGCAAGAATACTGGAGTGGGTTGCCATTTCTTCTCTCGGTATCTTCCTGAACCAGGGATGGAACCTGTGTCTTTTGCATTGGCAGGTGGATTCTTTACCACTAGCCCCCTGGGATGTCTGCTGCTAATCCCATGCAGTGTATTTTTCATTTTCAGAGATGGGCTGGAGTCTTTTCTGTATCATCTTTGTAGCATACTGTAGCATAATCTTTACTTATTTTCTTGATACATGGAGTATGGTGATAACAATTATTTTGATACCCTTGTCTACTCATCCTAGTATCTATCCCACCCCTGGGATCTATTAATACTAATCCCAGTATCTATACCACCCCTGAGATCTATTAATACTAATCCCAGTATCTATACCATCCCTTTGATCTATTAACACTAATCCTATTATCTATACCATTCCTGGGATCTATTAATACTAATCCCAATATTTGTTCCATCCCTGGGACTTATTAATACTAATCTCAGTATCTATACCATGCCTGGGATCTATTCATTAGTTTCTCTGCTCATTCTGGGTCATATTTTCCTGCTTCTTTGCATGCCTGTGAAGTTTTATTAGATGCTAAGCATAGTGAATTTTAGCTTAGTGGGTGTTGGATATTTTGTATTCATATAAATATTCTTGAACTTTGTTTTGGGATTTAGTTAACTTACCTGGAATGCTTTGATCTGTTAGAGACTTGCTTTTTAGTTCTTTAAGACAGGAATAGAACAGCCTTATCCAACGTTCTATAAAATTAAAATCATCTGAGTGAAATTTTGTTCCATTTGTTAATTTTACTGGCTTTCTCTTAGCATTGAAGTTATGATTTTGAAATTTTAGTTTGCAGCCTGGATTTTAGTGGAAGTCCTCTGTCCCCTTCCTTTGTCCTCATCCTTGCTGTTTAACCAGATTCCGAGACCCCCTCAGAAAGGACTAGGTCTTACAATGACCATTCTCTTCCATATTGCTATTGCCCTAACCCAGTTCCTGGATTCAAGGTGTGAACCTGGCTCTCGCCTTCGTCTTGAGTGGACAACCTGTAAGGCCCTCTATCTGTGAGAAGGCTTAGTTGCCACTGCCTGCTGCCAGACTCAGAACATATCAAACCATGGTATCAGTCTTACTCATTCTTTTTTTTCTTTTCAGATCCATTAGGGTTAGGGTTAGGGTTAAATAAAGATCCATCTTTTAACTCAGCTATGATTCTTTTTTTATTAAAACTTATTAATTAACATTTTGAAAACTTAAAAGAATACATAGTGAACACACATATGCCCATCACTTAGGTTCTTCAATCAACATTTTATTTATTATGTCTTTATTACATATGTATCTATCCATCCATTCCTCTATCTACCCATCGGTTCATGTTAATTTCTTGAAACTTCAAAGTAAGTTTGTGCTCTTCATCTGTAAGTATTAAAGCATTGCATATTGCTATCTAGAGTTGAATATTTGTTTTCATTTGTAGTTCTTTTATTTTCTTTTGGAGTAATATTTATATACAGTGAAATGTACAAATCTTAAATGTTATCAAACATATGTATACAACTCAAACCTCAATCAAGATATATGACATTACCATCACCAGATAAAGTTTCCTCACGCCCTTTCCCAGTCAGTTCATACTCCTACCCCATAGAAGCAGCCACTGTTCTGTTTTTTATTTCTACCATAAATTAGTTTTTCCTACTGTAGGGTTTCCTATTATGAAATCATAGAGCATGTCCTTTTTTATGTAAGGCTTCTTTAGCACAGTATGTTGTTTTTGAGAATTATCCACATGGTTGTTTCCTTTTCCTTGTTGAGTGGTGGTATTGCTTTGTTTAAAAAGTGAACAAACCACTATTTGTTTACTCATTTCAGTGGGCTCCTTTTGATTTTTCTTTTTCTTAATCTGTCACTGCTAAGTGTTTGTAGAGAAAACAGTGTATTAAAGTAACTATGCTATCTTAAACTAAAGTCCCCTGGTTTAACTAATGCATTTTCATTTTTAGTTGTTTTATTTAAACTGAGTAAACTTATCTTCTTTCTACCATTATATGGAATTGAATTTATGCATTCCATTTTCCCTCTAAGTTTGTTCTTTATCACGTTTTTACATGAAATTTAAAAATAGAGAATATGTTATATTAATGAAGGGCTATATTTAGTGTTTAAAATTCTTTTGTCCCTAAAATTATATCAAATAGTCTACATATTAAACATATATTTACTTTTTATATCATTTAGAAATTCAGTAATTCTATCATGTTTTTGCTATTGTATTAGGTACATTTTGGTTATAATCATGGAACTCCTTTGTAATGAACAATAATTAACAATAGAAATCTTTGTTTTCAAGGGTATGTTGATTCAGCCAGGTGAACAATATATTCCAATTCTATGGGATATCTAATCTCTGTTAATTTTGGATTACTTCTTCAATATAATGTAAATTTTCTGATACTTAGGTTAAAAGGAGTAACTAACAAAATACTTTACATATCACAGAAAGTTTCAGTATTTGTTAAAATTATGCTTTATTTTATTTTTACCTTTCTTCAGGTTTGGTTGGGATGTTCCAGTAATTCTGAGAAATTCAGAAGAAACCCAGTTCAACACAAGAGTTTTCAAAAAGCAAATGAGACAAGTCAAAAATCCTTTTGGCTTAGAGATCACCAATCCATCTTCAGCTTCAATTACAAGTTGGTGGCTATTTTCCAAAGATTTTTCTCTCTTTCTGTGGCCCTTTCCTAGCCCTTTAATTTTCTTTCTCTATTGCTTTCTCTTCCTCAGACCTAACAAACATTTGTTGAGCACCTGTTCTGTTCTAGGAGCTAGGCTGCATACCTGAGACACAACGACTAGTAATTCACAAATCTTGCTCCTAAGGAGCTTATAAACTAGTAAATAAAGGCATTTCTATGAGAAGAATAAAGTGTCACAGGAGTTAATAAGAGAAGTCTTATTAGGATGCTATGCCATTTTCATTGGTCTTTGGTGTAGAGAGAAAAGCAAAGCAATGTAGTAAAAGTAGAGCTAATTAAGGTTGCTACCCCTTGAAGAACAACCATCTTTTCATCTGAAATTCTGGTATTTTGATATTAAATGGTAACAGTACATGGTAGTTGTTTGTTTCTATACTTGGGAAGATAAGTTGTCTGCAAGATTATCTGGGAAACACTGGAGTAAAAGAAAGAAAGGTTAAGTTTCGGGAGGTGTATGCAGGAAAAGCTTCATAAAGGGGAATGTTCTGTCTGTCTCTTTTTTTTTTTCTTCCACCACCCACCCTCTTTTTTTTTTTTTTTTTTGTAGAGTAGAGTCTTGAGATAAGTAGGTGTTTATTTTGGGAGGTTGGGAAAACTTCTAGGTAGAAGGAGAAGCATGGGCACAGCACTGAGATATAAGTAGGAAAATACATTAGAGAATCAGTAAGTAGTTTGTTGGGCTTTCCTGGTGACTCAGACCGCAAAGAGTCTGCCTGCAGTGCGGGAGATTGAACCCTGGGTTCAATCCCTGGGTTGGGAAGATCCCCTGGAGACGAGAATGGCAACCCACTCCAGTATTATTGCCTGGAGAATTCCATGGACAGAGGAGCCTGGCCGACTACAGTCCATGGGGTCACAAAGAGTCAGTAGTATATACAGATATTATGATATGACTCAATTCTTTTTTAAGAGTCATAGTACTTTATTATCAAGTGTTCCATATTTTATTCATTTAATCTCTTTTGATATTTGTGTGTCTTTCAGCATTTTTATATGACCAGAACTCTAAACATACATCTTTTCACATTTTTGCTAATAATATATTAAGAAATTCTTTTCTAGGTTCCATTTTTTCCTTTTTCTACTTTTTAATATGCCTTTTCTGTTTTTTCCTCTTCTATCTACTTCCAGATTTTTTTTCTTGCTTCATGTAGTGTGGTTCTTAGGTGAAACAGGGGAAAGTATGTGTGATTTTAATATATGTATATAATTTGTATTAATAGAATGTTTTTCTTCAGCTACTTAATAGCTAGTTGAAAAACATAACTAATTAAATTTCCTATTCTTGAATTAATACCTGATGTTTGGAATTATATAAAAATTTGAAATCAAATTCTGTTCCAGTTACCTATGTGAAATTCCTGCCAGTTAAGAGTTTTGCTTAACTATGATTAGAAATTGCTCTGGATTTCTGCTAGTGTACACATTCAGAGTTCAAGCCTCTGTGTACGTACTACTAACCTGAGAAGAAAAGTGAAAAACTCAGTCAATTTTTGATGTCCTCTAGAGCATCTGCTTGTGTCTATGTAGCTCCTTCTCCAAGGACATTGCCCTTTAAGAAATAGATGATGCATCAATAAAAATTGCTATTTGTAAACAACAGAAGTGATTCCAATAAAAGGACATTGAATAGTTTACAGAATTGCCGGTAGGTTTGGAGAGCCAGAATCAGATACCAAGGCTGTTCAGCCAGGAACAATGACCAAAACCATGCCCTTTTGCTCTGGTGAGTACGCCATGGCCACTGAGCACTAGACGTTTCAGCTTGCACTGTCAATAGTATGAAAAGTGAATGTTGGTGCCCTTGAACTTGATATTGCTACAACTGCCATGGGCAAGGGGAAAAAAAACCATACAGCTGGCCTACGGTCCTATGTAAGTGTTAATAGGTAAAAACTACATAAGATAATTGTATGTGCATAAAGCAATTACCCTCCAATTAAAAAATTTAAATTTAGAAAAGATAATTGTATGTTCACTTATAACTTGTATATCTACATGATCAGGTTTTCTTAAATTATAATACCTTTTATTATGCTGAAAGCAAATAAGTAAGGGCAATAAGCAAATGACTGAGGGTATCACTGTCAGACCCTCCATGTTTTGGAATCTCCACTCTTTCCTCAGGATATTTTGCATATTACATGGGACATTAACTGGATGACAAGAGTATATTAGTGTTGTCACTGAATATGTTCATATTAATACAGCTCCATTTCATTTTAATGTTTTTTTCTGTTCCACTGATCATCTTGTGGCCCCCATGGGTTGTATACCTGCACTTTGGGAAGCAGCTCTATTAGTTCTTGTAGTGAGGATTATATATGCGGTTAGAGCGGTCGGTGATCAATAGTGAGCTGTTTTTCAGTTTTTTAAATCTGTGGGCAGAGTCTTGAAGTCACCAAAAAAAAAAATTATAACTTCCAAGGCTAAGTATGAAATAATGTAACAGTTTACTGAGAGCGCTTGAAAACCATGTAGACATTGAAGTTTTTATATCTTTTGTTTCAGAGACCATTTCCTTCATTTATAGACAGATACCCTTTAATGAGCTCCTTTAACTGCCATCAGCCTGGCCAGCATCCAAAAGGAAGCTTTTGTTACTCGCTGTGTATAATTGTAATAGAAATTACATTAGGTAATTTTCTTCTCTTTGTCTCGTTTGTTTTCTACAGCTGGCATAACTTTGACAACAGATTGCCTTGAAGATAGCCTCCTTACATGCTACTGGGGGTGCAGTGTTCAAAAATTATATGAAGCTCTGCAGAAGCATTTTTATTGCTTCCGAATAAGCACTCCGCGAGCATTAGAAGACGCTCTGTATAGTGAATATCTCTATCAAGAGCAGTATTTGTATCCTTTTATTTGATACATTCATTAGCACATGAAAATTTTAGACATTCGACTTTCTATGAATAAAATTGTGTTGCTAAGTTATTGTTTACTCCTTTTGGGATATTGTTGTATTTTTTGGTTATAGTGGCAGTTTACCTTTACATCTTCAAAAAGTATTAAAAAGGACAGCAAAGAAGAAATATATTGCCAGTTACCAAGAGATACTAAAATTGAAGACTTTGGTACAGTGCCGAGATCTCGCTATCCTTTGGTAGCGCTGTTGACCCTAGCCGATAAAGATGACCGAGAAATTTATGACATTGTAAGTAATTTTAAAATTCTGGAAGCATTACTTTTAAGTGATTTGATTGATCGGTCTTAATTATTTGGTGAAATAGAAAAAGATTTATTTTAATTTCTGCGGCCTGGACACATTTTTCTTGGAAAATGAATGTATGGGAAGTACTCCTGTAAGAGTTTTTTTATGTGTATTGCTTCTTCAGAGTGTGACTTGTGGTTTCCCATATGGGTTGCAAGAATATGATTATATTTAGAAAATAAAAGACAGAGTTGAATTATGTTAATTTCCTCATTCTGTATTCTGTGGTGTTTGCCACATAGAAGAAGTCTGTTAGGGAGCATGTTTATTCCTGGCATTTTTAGCACCGAATAAATAACTATTGTAATGATCTGAAGTGCTCGATTTTAAGACAATATACACTCTCTTCTTTGCGTGCTTGCAGTCATCTTGCTTCCATCACAGCCCCTGTTGCACCTACATCTTATATGTCTTTGGTCCCTGTATTTTCAGTAGTTATTGTAATCTTTTCTCATTATTTGCTGTTTCTTCAGTCCAGTAGTTTATCCCAATTAGGAAGATAAAAGTGTGTTAGAGATCTAAAAGGCCCTGAGCCTGACATTCCTCTAAGTACAGTAGAAGCTTGTGCATGAAATAAACTTTTGGTAAAATCCTCTCATGGTAAGAATGCCTTTATAACCAATTTGCTACTTTACTGAAGTGCTTGAAAGAGATATATTGATTAGTAAACATATGTTACCATATCTTTATTATGACACTTTGTAACATACAAAGTACATTTGCCACCAGTAACTTACATATTCCTTATACAACTCCCTTGTATGTTAGGGCAAATATCCTTCTTATAAACACTGAAAGAGTTTGAAGAAAAATCCCAGCCATTCACAAAACAAGAGCTAGAACCAGGGCTTGATTTTGAGCCTTTGTAGTCCTGTGCCAGCATTGTTTTGAACAGGATTATCTCCATGAAACAAGATGCACTGAGCTTTGGAAGGTGCAGACCCTAACTGAGAGATCTAGACCCTGCTCACTGCAGTTATGCCTCTGTAGTTTTCCTTTGTCTTTTTTTTTTTTTTGAAGGGGGATGTTAATTTGAAGTTCCACTGAGCTGAAGTCAGTTTGTTTTTTCCAAATAAAAGTCGTACTAACCAGTTTATTTCCAGGAGCTAACAGTACCCAGAACTCAATAGGTACTCAGTAAATTTGTTAAGTGAAAAAAAAAAAAGGCATAGCAGTCAATGTTAGCGAGCCACTTAGAGCGCCATAGCTAAGCTCCTGGTTAGCCTACAGGAGAGCTCTTGTCTCCGTCTCTCTTCTCACTCCTGTGGCCCTCCTCTCTTTTCCACTGAAGGAAATAAGATGTGCTGAGTTGGGCGTTTTGTATTTCCAGCCTTTCCGTCCTTTGCCCCGCCTACCTGGGCAAGATAGCCCTTCTCTCTCCACCATGTCCCCCCCCGACCCCCGCCATCTCTTCTAAGCTCCCCCATTTCTTTCACCTGAAACAGAAAGGGTCACCTCTGTCACCTTGTTCTCAGCTTCCCCTGTGGTTCCTTTCCCCCTACACTGCTGCAGCTGTTTTCAGCTTGAATTCTCAGACTTCCTTATTTTCTAATTTTCCTCCTCCATCTAAACAGAGGAGTGTGTGTGTGTGTGTGTGGCAAAATACTTATAACATAACATTGACCATTTTAACCACTTCTCAGTGTAAAGTTCAGTGGCATTGTAGATGGGGAAAGATTTGCTCTCACACCCCTGACCCAACTGGAGTGCAGTCTCCTGGCCCAGTAGTGCTTGGGGGAGGCTTATTCCCACAGGGCAGCCTGGGCACGTGGCTCTACGGGTCAGCCGTCCTGTTCTCTCTTTCTTTGTACCTCCCTGCCTGGGTCCTTCTCTGGGTCTCCTGTCCTTATCAGCAGGCTCCCTCATTGCCTTCCTGTTAATCCTAGCTTCTCCATCTCTTATCTCTCAGATAGGGCCTAATATTGGAACTGAAGTCTATTAGTATATTTTGTATTCATGTTCTCTGTTCTTAATTTTAAAAGCAAACTGGGCATTTGGTTTTTCAATATTTTATCTGGAGTCAGAGATTCTAAATCTAAAAAAAAAAAAAATTTAAACTCTCTCATTCCTATTGTAACTCCTATTGTAAATTACATTCAGATCCTGTAGTTAGGAACTAGTTTGTTATTTTAGCTAGATAAGGAAAGTGAAGACTGTCATTGCAAGATTTTAACTTAAATTTTTTTTCACTTTAACTAAATTATGCTAGTTTCTTTTTTGTATTACTCAAATAATGTATGTTTGTGGAAGGAAATAGAAAATCTAGAGAGGTCAAAAGGAAAAAAAGGAAAATCATTGGTATTCTGTCACACAAAGACAGTAACTGTATTTGTCTATATCTTTCTAGACCTTTATGTATGTAATTTCGAGACAAAATTGTCCATTTTATTTTGGGGTCTGCTTTCATTTAATAATATGTTTTGTACATTTTTTCCATATCAAATGTATATCTATAACCACATATGTATTCATAACTAGCATGATAGTAGCTTCAGAGGCTTTTGATGTTAAATTAAATGGCAGGATTGTTAGTAATAGGTGTTAGCATTACTGTCTTCTACCAAAATACAATCCTGTTATTTTTACATAATATTAAAAGTCTCTGAAGTCATTGCCAAATTAATATATCCTTATGAGACTGTAAAGAATATGTTTACAGCCATTGTTTTTTAAACTTTCTATATGCATATAATTTCAGAAACTTGCCAAAATAAAAATGTAAAAGAACACCCATATACCCTTTACCCAGATCTAATTGTTAACATTTGCCCCATTTTCATTATTTGCCCATATGTATATGTATATATGGGCTTCTGTGGTGGCTCAGTGGTAAAGCATCCACCTACCAATGCAGGAGATGCGGATTTGATCCCTGGGTTGGGAAGATCTGCTGGAGAAGGAAATGGCAACCCACTCCAGTATTCTTACCTGGGAAGTCCCATGATCAGAGGGGCCTGACGGGCTAGAGTCCATAAGGTTGCAGAATAGTCAGACATGACTTGGTGGTGAAGAACAACAACAAACAACATGTATGTGTATGTATATATATTTTTTAATGAATTGAGAATAAGTTGTATACATGATGATTTTTTACATCCAAGTACTTAAGTGTGTATTATAGGTGTCTTCTCTTAAGTAACTATGATGTAGTTATCTACTTTATAAATCTAACATTGATACAATATTTTATCCAACCTATTACCTGCATTCCAATTTGTCAGCCTATCTAACAGTATTGTTTACAACATGTCTTTTCCCTCCAGTACATATTGTAGTTTAGAGTCAGAAATTATATTTGTCATGTATTTTTAACCTCCTTTAATCTGAAACATTTCCATAGCCTTTTTTTGGTCTTTTATGACATTAGTATTTTTGAGGCATACAGTCACATGTACACACTGTTTTCATAAAACAGGACATTCCTCATTTTGTCTGATGTTTCATCATGATTAGATTGAAGTTAAACATTTTCTTCAGTGTACCGGGCAGGTGATAATGTTTAGTTTTCAGAACATCGCCTATAGAAGAATGGGAGGTTCTTTTCCCTCATTGGCGATATTAATTTTGATCTCTCAGTCAAAGTATTATCTAATTTCCCATTGTTTCCTTTTTTTTTCCTCCCTCCCTTGCAAATAATAGTCAGTGTGTGAAAAGGCACTTTAAGACCATACAAATATCTTGTTCTTTATCAGAATCTCCCCTTGTATTTAATATCCATTAATGATTCTTGTCAGAGTTCATCTTTACCATGATGGTTGCAAAATAATTATTTCCAACTTCAGCCCTGCATTCAGCCCTCTGCCTTCTATTACAAGCAAGAGACCTCTGATTTATCTCTTTAATTATCTATTTGTTATCTCACAGCTTCATAAATTCCTTTTCCTCCCAGTGGTTTATAATTCATTATTGAATTTGATTATTTAAGTCCTCAAACTACCCTTTCCTTATTTCCTGCCCCAAACTGAGGATTTGTTGTCAAAAACAGTGTCCATAAATTCCTCGGATTAGTTCTCTCAAAAGTAAAAAACTATGTAAAGACGTATACCAGATGATGCTTTCATCTCCAAGTTCATTGTTTTCTGGCTTGTCCTTCCTATGTTTCTTATTCTAATGGTAAGAAAATACAAATATCTCTCTATTCTCATTTCCCTTCTTTCTTATACAAAAAGTAGGAAACACTTTACACTATGCATGTTCTCACTTGTTTTACTTTATATCTCCTGAAAATCACTCCAGATCAGTTCATAGAGATCTTCCTCATTTTTTTTTTTTAAACAGCTGCCTAGCACTCTATTGTATGTAGGGTATACATGTATTAATGCCATAGCTATTCAACCAATCTCCTGTGGTTGGACATTCAGGTGGTTTCCAGTATTCTGTAATAACAAATAATCTTGCATTGGATAACTTGTGTGTTTGTAGTTTAATATTGGTGAGGTTATGTGGTTGAAGGCTAAGTAAATACGGGTCATTTTGTTACCTACTGCCAAATTCCCCTCCATTGGAGTTGTTCCTTTGGAATTGTATCTTTTTTTTTTTTTAACACATTTCCTCCAGCAGTATATGAGAGTGATGGTTTTTCCATGGAGTGTACTGATAAACTATTCAATTTTTGTTAATCTGATGAGCAAGAAATGATATCTCAGTGAGGTTTCAATTTGCATTTATCATAAGTGAAATTGAACATCTTTTATTATGGCTAAGGACCATGTTTTATCTTTCTGTAAATTATCTGTTCATGTCTTTGCCCTATTTCTGTATAGAATTTTTATTCACTTTTTCTTCAATTTTTTTAAAGTTCTTTATAAGTTAAGGATATTAACTTATGTCTGTGATATACATTGTGAATATGTATTTCAGCTTGTCATATGTCCTTTGACTTTACTTATAGTATTTTGTCATGTAAATTTTATATTTTTATGTAGTTAGATTTGTCATATTTATCTGCCTGTAGGTTGGAGTCATAGAAAGTCTTTTTCTACACTGAAACTAAAAAGAAATTCATGTTTTTCCCTAGTACTTGTTTAGTTTCATTTTTTACAATTATGAGTCTAATTTTGTTTTCCCAAACAGCTATCCAGTTGCCACAGTACTTTTTATTATTACAAATACTCTCTTTGTTTAGTTATTTGAAATGCAGCCTTTATATTTGCATATATGGTTAAGTCTGTTTGTGGACTGTTTATTCTGTTCCATCCAGCTATCTATTCATGTGCCAGTACCACACTGTATTAATTTTAGAGGCTTTGTAGTATGTTTTAACATCTGACTGAACTTAGTCCCTCTCATAGCTTTCTTTCCAGTATTTTCCCAGCTCTTATGTTTTATTTTAATTGTAGAGTCAACTCATGTAGCCATATGAAAAACTAATTGCTATTTTTGTTGGGATGACATTAAATTTGTGAATTTGAGGATAAGTAAAATAACTCTGGCAAAATATATATAACTGGGTTCTTTTTAGTGACTGTGATTTAAGGAAATTATTATAAGTTTTCTAATTTATCAACCTCTTATTTTTATTTGAGAAATATTTTTCACATATCTGTGAAAAAAATATAAGGAAATCACATACTGACTGGTGTTCAATTTCTGTTTTAGATTTCCATGGTGTCAGTAATTCATATTCCTGATAAGACTTATAAACTCTCCTGTAGGATATTATATCAATATTTACTCCTAGCTCAAGGTCAATTTCATGATCTTAAGGTAAGTTGTACCCTCTAGTCTTATTTTTGTCTTTTCTGTTTACAGAGTTTCAGAGAATGACTATTTATAAAGAGATAATAATATTTTCAGTTACTTATCATAGAAGTTAACTTTTATTTGCTGTTGGATTTGCTAGTTCATACGTTTTTAGCAGCTCTTATAACCCCTGTATTTGAAGCATAATTGTCATTTGTAATTATCTTTACATTTGTTTCTTTGATTTTCAGCAACTTTTCATGTCTGCAAATAATAATTCCACTCCCTCCAGCAATTCTTCTCCAGAAGAAAAAAACACAGACCGAAGTTTGCTAGAAAAGGCAGGACTATCTGAGAGTGAAGTGGAGCCTCCAGAAGAGAATAGCAAGGACTGTGTGGTTTGCCAGAATGGGCCTGTGAACTGGGTGCTCTTGCCGTGTAGACACACGTGCTTGTGTGATGGCTGTGTTAAGTATTTTCAGCAGTGCCCAATGTGTAGGCAGTTCGTTCAGGAATCTTTTGCACTTTGCAGCCAAAAAGAGCAAGACAAAGACAAACTAAAAAGTCTCTGAGGATGTTGTAACCACTGAAAAGTACTTCCCACTGAAGATGCAAGCTTTGTCTTCTTGGAATTAACCATAACATGGAATCTACAGTGTTAACCGTCAGTGGAAATTCTATTTTAACTTCATATTTGTACAATACATGGATTTCAAAAACTAATTATTCCTTGCTGTTCAGTATGGCAAATACTGAAATTCCACTCTGTGTCAATGCATAAAAACCCATTCAACCTCTTGTGAAGAACGTAAATATTTGGCCTTTTATCAGCTAGAGGATTTCATGTAATATCAATTAGAAAAATTCTGAAAAGCAATCCACCTAAAATTTGAGCAAGTAAAAGTCTTAAGATTTCAGAATACTTTTTCTTTGACTTAATCTGGAGTGCAATTGGGTAAAAGCTGAATTCTTAAAATAATTGTATGTTTCTTAGTTTACAAAGGAGTTGGAAAGGGCTTCTAACTTTAAATCCTTTCCTGAAATATCAGTTTTTATAAATATCCATCTGTTTTGGTTTCTCATTTTCCTTCTAATCATAGTCACACAAACAGATCTTAATTTTTAAATATAGCTTCTTAAATTATAAATGCAAGAAATAATTCTTGACTGTTCTCAGTGTATCATAAATTTAAATGATACGCATTTATAGGAAGCGGATATATAAAACATGGATAACAAAATTTCTTGGATAATTAAATTTCTTGTCAAATATGATTAGATTAGCAGGATGTGACCTACTAGGGAAGATCTGTGAGACTCTCAATACCTTACCTTAGATTTCCTCCTGCATAAAGAATCTATCCAAAACTGGAGAGGCTTCAGAGCCAGAAAAATCACTAAAAGAAACAAACCATTTTTTTCTAGTGTGTGTGTGTTTTTTTTTAATGCCAAATTAACCCCATGTCCTTCTGAATAGTAAATCACTTTGTTTATCCCATGTTACATCCTCTTAGGAGCTGAGGAACCTGGTAGTCAAAAAAAGCCCCATTCCCCACTTTTCCCATGATGATTAAAAAGAATAAAGTAAATCAGAGCTTCCTGTTTCTTCAATGGAAATTACCTTTAATTCACTAAGAAATTATATCATGGCAAATAAACTGTGACATGCAGGGAGATTTCCAAGCCTTATTTTGTCCTGTTTGTATTAAAAATTATGCCTTATCTTTCTATCATTGTGTTTATATGATATTATTTTATTCCCATCAAATATAGCACTCTCAAAAAGACATTACTTTTTCTTCATTTTATAAACCAAATCAAATTTCATCTATATTCAATAACTAGGTAACAAATATCTTCTAGGGACCAGATACCTTTTGGGAGTCTGGGCTACAAAGAATCAGACAAGGCTCCTGACCTCAAAATATCTGTCTCTAACAGAAGCATTGATGGATTATTAGAATCACATCCTTGACTTAGATGTTCCTAAAGCCCTGTTCGAAGCCTGGAACCTGGTGGTCAAAAGCTACAGTCCCCACTGCAGTTGGCTAGCTGTATAGCAGTTCATCTGGGAACTTCACTTTGTATATCAATTGCAGGGGACTACTCAGGGGTCATTTTGACATCCTTATCCATCCTGCTTCCCTTTACAGGTCTGTTTGTACCTAAACTGTCCTAGACACACAGTTACTTTCTCATCTTAGGTAGATTCCACCTGCAATCTTATGCTATTTTTCATAACTTTTTTTTTATTGTAGTAAAACAGATATGAAAGTTACCATTTTAACCATTCTTAAGTATACAGTTCAGTGGCATTAAGTACTTTCACATTGTTGTGTGACTACCACCAGTTTCTATCTTCAGACATTTTCTATTATCCTAGACTGAAGCTCTATACCCATCAAACAGTAACTCCTCATTCATTACCTGTCCCTTCAGCTCCTAGGCAGCTACCATTCTGTTTTCTGTCTCTGTGAATTTGACTCTTCTAGGTACTTCATTGGCATGGAATCATACAATATTTATCCTTTGGTGTCCAGCTTATTTCGCTAAGTATAGTGTTTTCAAGGTGCATCAGGTATCAGAATTTCTTTTTTAAGTCTGAAAACTATTCTGGTACATGTATATACCACAGTTTGTTTATCCGTTCGCCCATCATTTTTCACAGCTCTTAAAGATGATTGCCCTTCATTCCCCTTTGCTGCAACTAAAATAATTGTTTTTCCTAACCCCAATAGTAATAAATATGAGAAATTTGGTAAATAATCAATTAAAAACAAGTACACTGACTCTTAGAGGCTTATGCCATAATTTGCCAATGGCAATGAATAAGAGACATCTTGTGAGAGCATCTATAAAAGCATTTTATTTGACTGGATCACTAGATGAAATGTGGTTTAGGGCTTGCCTGGTGGCTCAGGGCTTGCCTGGTGGCTCAGATGGTAAAGAATCTGCCGGCCAATGCAGGAGACCTGGGTTCAATCCCTGAATTGGGAAAATCCCCTAGAGCAGGAAATGGCAACCCACTCTTTCCTGAAGAATCCTATGGACAGAGGAACCTGGTAGGCTACAGTCTATGGGGGTGCAAAGAATCGGACATGACTGAGCAACTAACACTAAAGTGCACTAAGTGGTTTATATACAGTAGTTTGTACTTTCCAAAAATCTGAACCAGGGATACATTAAGCAGATCTAATAGGTGACTAGCCACCTCCTTTTTCAGTGACCCATTTTTCCCAGCTTGGCACCTATGAGAGTTCTTAATGTCTTAACAGTGTCTAAACCACCTGTAGGGGAGGAACTTAAAAACTGTTGCATAATGGCTCAACACAAATCACTGAATTATTTCCCATTGGAACTATTGTATTTTTTAAGCCTTCCCACTAATTGTGGAATGAAGAGTTTTGTCTTGACTTGCGGGAATTTGAAGCATCAATATAGATAATCGGGTTTAGGAGGAGTGGGTTGACGTGATTCATTGCAGCCTCCTCTATTGAATCCTGTTCCACTGGATAATTCCTGAACTCCATCACCTAGATTTTGAACTCTGAATTCCCCTCTATTTCTGTATTTCCCTATATTTCTCCTGAATCTTCTTTCTTGTCATCACAACCTCTAGTTTCTGGGTCCCCAAGTCTATTCTAATTATTCATTAACTTGCTCCTGGGTTGCTTGCTTAACAGTTTCAAATATGCTATACTTGTTTAGCTTGCTTTTGTAACCTCTCCACTCTACCTGCCCCAGGAATTCACATACTTGGCTTACCTCAATTATGCTTCTTTACCGCTATTACCACAGAAGTTCAAGTGGTCTAACTAGTTAACGGAGTCCACTAAGAAACTTCTTTGCTTAGTCGCTCCCAGGAGTTCACAGCTGCTCAGCAATCCTTTTATTGTTTTCCTAATGGACCCTCTACTGAACTCTCAATAGCTATTTCTCTTCCACTCTTCTAAAGTTCTGTACCCCACCACTGATATATCACTTTCAGAAAAGAATCTTCAAAAGATGGGTTAAAATGACAGACACTAAAGTCATTATAGCTTGAATTTTTATCCCAGCTCTTCCACTTCTCCCTTGACAACCTCAGTCAGTCTGATCAGTTTCCTCATCTATAAAAATAGTGATCATAGAACCTACCTAGAGGCTGTTGAGAGTTTTATACATGTGAGTTGAGAGTTAATATATGTGTGAAGAGTAATATATGTGCTGAGAGTTAATATGTGTGTGAAGTGCTTGGACCTGGGCATAGCATATAGTATTCTATGTATGACAGGTATTACTGTTACTACCTTGTTTAGATATTCAAAGCCAGCAGACTCTTTTCTCTCTTCCCCCAAAGAGGAAGTATATTATATCTCCTTTTGGGGCCAACACTGCTTGTATTCTTGATCTCATCTCTTTTGCTCCCTGAATGCTAAGTAACTGAATGATTACTGAGTGCCAAAGACATTACACATTGTGTGAGCATGAGAATGCAACAGTGAAAGAAAATACACAAAATCCCTCACCTTCATGGACCTTACATTCTAGTAAAGAGAGGACAAATTAGTAAACAATACCATATATCAAGTGGAGGTTAAGTGCTATGGAGAAAACCAAAGCTGAGATGGTGAGTCGGTAATGAGAAGGATGGAAGTGAGGATTCTACTTCAAATGCAACGGTCAGGAAAGACCTCACCAGGAATTTATTAATAGAGAACTGTCTAGAAGACCAGGGAGTGAGCTGTGTATAGACAAAGACACCTGAACCACTACAAGGCTGAGAGGTGCACGTTACTGAGACGGAAACAATTGGGAAGAGGTGGTTTTGGAGATAAAGAGCTATTGTGTTTTTGTTCCATTTTGGATGCCAGTCAGAAATACAAGTAAGGATCTCAAATAAACAGGTGAATGTAGTTCTCTGAGGTTCAGAGGAGAGGTCTGACTGGTAAACTTCATCTTACCTTGATGCCACATCATCAGCATGGCATTTAAAGCCATGAGTCTACGTGAGATCACTGACGGAGTGAGCGTGGGAATAGAAGTGGTCCATGGACTGAGGGGATACTCCAGCATTTGGGCAGACTGGGGGTGGCAGGGGACCAGTACAATGAGAAGTAAACAGTGAGGTAGAAAGAGAATCAGAAGAGTGGGCTTTACAAACCATCCCAAAGTGGAGTTGTATAAAACAACCACCATTTTATTATGCTCACAGATGGTGTGGTCAGGTATTGGGACAGGATATGGCAGGGATGGGAATGTCTAGAAGTTTAGTTGGGAAGACCCAAATGACTGAAGTGACTCAAGGCCAGAGGACTAAAATCATCTGGAGGCTCTTCACTTAAGTATGTGGTGCTCAGGCTGTGATGACTCGAAAGCTGGGATGAGCTGGGACAACTTGTGGCCTTTTCAGGCGGCTTGGACTTTGTCACAGCCAGGTGGTCTTAAGATAAATTCCTTAAGTGGGGGCTCAGGACTCCAAGGGTGTGTTCCTACTAAACAAGGAAAAAGCTGCAAGGCCTGTTTTGTTTTTGCCTTTTTTCTTTTTAACAGAGACACAGTTTAAATACCATATAATTCCCCCATTCAAAAG